TTTTCTAACCTCATATTTCAGCTTCTAAAAGGCAGGGTTAGCACAATTGTGTTTGACCCTATTACCTTCCTTTCTTCACTTCTTTCTTTCTCTCTTTCTTTCTTTCTTTCTCTCTCTCTCTCTTTCTTTCTTTCTTTCTTTCTTTCTTTCTTTCTTTTTTCTCCTTTCCTTCCTTCCTTCACTTCTTTCTCCTTCCTTCCTTTTTTTGTGACAAACTTGGCAATGTGGCTATCATCGTACTTGGTTCTGAAAACATTTTGGACTCTTTGTTTGTTTCTTTGTTTTGAGACAATGTCTCATGTAGACCATTCTGATCTTGAACTCATTATATAAACAAGAATGACATTGAATTTATAATCCTCCTGCTTTCACCTCACCAGTCCTGGAGTTTCAGGTGTATGCCACATTTTAAGGATTAACATGCACTCTTAACCACCAAATCTTTGGTGTTTTAGTACACAGTGAAAATACTTCACAGTGGCCCTAGGATGCATTCATAATTATAAATTTCAGGAGATGGCATTCTTCTTTTCAAGTTATCTTTCCCCAGCCTTGCCGCACAAGTTATTTTTATTGCACCGAAAGCTTCATATGTTGCTCTGCTAGAATTTTTCAAAAGAATTTCTAAAACTTTCAAACAATGACAACATTGTAAAGAGCACCCTACCCTCAATGCCATTACTTTGAAAGAAATACCATTTATTTGGATGCAAAATTATATTGTTTTTTTTACAAGAACGAATAGACACTTTATGATAATATCTTAAGACGTGTGTGTGTGTGTGTGTGTGTGTGTGTGTGTGTGTGTGTGTTGGGGATAACGATAAAGGCAGTACTAACTCTGATTCCCAGAGCTACTGTAGCCATGAGGCAGGAGGATCATTGTGAATTCAGGGCCCACCTGGTCTACATAGTGTGGTCCACGACAACCAGAGCTATATGAGATCCTTTCTCAAAATAAACAAAAACATGAATGTTATTTTGGATCCTCTTAAGTTAACTAAAATTGTATGGTGTGGGGAAATACAGGACTGGCTCAGAAGAGAATCTAGAGTATCTCAATTAGGAAAGAAATCCTTTGGGATCCAGAAAACATGTAACTAACCAACTGATAGCTGCCTACATGACAGTTTTTCTTTTTGCTATGTCTATGTGATGTGGAAAACAGGTAGACTGCATGCTACTGGCTTCAAATAAAAATTACTTTCCCTCAGAGTTAGATTGTTAGCCATTCTTGAACATCAGGTTCACTGTCCTCTTGAGACTCTGACAACTTCATAATGTGATCTGCCTACCCATCCCTTTAAGCCACAGAGGAGACCTTTGTAGATGTAAGAAGGCCTCTGTCTTCAGAAAAATCAAGGCACTGTTCACAAAGGTCTTGTAAAGAATGAGAAGCGTCCATTGTTCTTTCTCAAGGCAGCCTAATTGCTACATAGACAGCTTGCTACAAACTGAAACAGTCTTAGAAAAAATACACTCAGACTAGAATATATGGCAGTTTAAGAAGCCTGGCTTAAAAATGTTTCTAATTGCTCTATTTTGGAAACTGGTAATCTCTATCCAAACTTTTTTATTCTGCTTTGGATATGCCACGTTTATGTTTATGTATCAGGGGAAGCCAATGACATTTTTCTGTGTTTTCCTTCTCTGCTCTCCAAGGCTAAGATACTTAACAGATTTGAGCTGCAGTTTCCTTCTCTGTAAAATTCAGATAAAAGTACATGGTTTCTGAACTTTATTGTATTTATTTCCTTCTTTCCTTCCTTGTTTATTTTCTTGAGACAGGGTGTCCATGTGTAACTGTCCTGGAACTCACTATGTAGACTAGGTTGGTCTCAGACTCACAGAGATCCCCGTGACTCAGCCTCCTGAGTGCTGGGACTAAAGGTTCCTTGGTTTCTGAATTTTAAAATGATATAACTTAGGTCGTAACGGTGTTTGTTGCCAAGACTGAGAACCTGAGTTCAATCCCTGGAACCCACATGGTGGAAGGAGAGAAGTGACTACAGAAAATGATCTTCTGGCCTCACTCATACGTGGTGGCCAACAACCCATACGTGCACACACATGCTTCCTCTGTGCACAGTAACTGGGAAACACTTGTGTGCTGCCCAGGGGAATGGCTCAGATGCTGTTTCCTGTCTCTTCCACTCACTGCCTCAGTTGTGGTCTTGTTGGCTGCTGCCACACACAGTGTCCTTCAGGCGTCTCCACAGGGAGGAGCTGCCTTGCCCAAGGCAATCTCCTCTCCAAGAATGCAGTCCACATCTAATTACACAGTAGGGGTAGGACACAGAGGCTCAGCTACCTTCCTTCAAGTGGGAAAAACTCTGAAATGCTAACCTCCAGAGAACTTGAAGGATCTAAGGAGATCTAAGGTACAACTGCACTATTATGGAAGTCTTTCCAGTACTCAGACCTGTTTTCCACATTCCTGAGAAGAGCTGTTAGAGCCTCTGTGCTGGCTACTTTTGTCAGCTTGATAGAAGACACAGTCATCCAAGAGGAGGGACTAAGAAAATGATGGGGCTGTAGGGTGTTTACTTAACTAATGATTGACGGGTGAGGGCCCAGCCCTTTGTGGATGGTGCCATCCCTAGGAAGATGGCCCTGGGTTCTATAAAAAAAAGCAGACTGAGTGTAGGCAGAGGCTGCTTGTTCATTTCCTGGCTGCCTGAACCCAAAATAACCACACAGAAACTATTAATTAAAGCACTGCTTGGCATATTACCTTAGCCTTCTTATTAACTAACTCTTACATCTTGAATGAACCCATTTCTATTATATTCTACCATGAGGCTCATGGCTTACTGGTAAGGTTCTGGGGGTCTGTCTCCTTCAGTGACTGCATGGCATCTCCATGGCATCTCCCTGACTCCACCTTCTTTCTTCCTCTATCTGCTTGGAATTCCCATCTTACTCTATTCTGCCCCGCTATAGGCCAAAGCAGCCTCATCTATTAACCAATAAAAGCAGCACATATACAGAAGAACTTCCCACACCAACTGAGGGCTCTAAAGATAACTCAGAGGTTAAGAGCACTGGCTGCTCTTCCAGAAGTTCTGAGTTCAATTCTCAGCAACTACATGGTGGCTCGCAACCATCTATAATAAGATCTTGTGCCCTTTTCCGGCATGCAGCCATAGCAACATGTAGGCAGAACACTGTATAAGTAATAAATAAATAAATCTTAAAAAAGAAAGCAGACTGAGCAAGCTAGGGGGAGCAAGCCAGTTAGCAGGTCTTCTTCATGGCCTCTGCATCGGCTCCTGCCTTCAGGTTCCTGCCCTATTTGAGCTCCTGTCTTGACTTCTTTTCATGAACTGTTTTACAGAAGGGTGAATGAATTAAACACTTTCCTCTGCAAGTTGTTTATGGTCATGGTGTTTCATCACTATCCCTAACTAGGACCGGCACCAAGCAATGCCTCCTGCACCAGTCTCCATCTTAGAATGTACTTCCCAGGGACACCAACTGGTAACAATTGTGAAGAGCAGCAGCGGGCTGTGTCCCACCGGGCTAGCTTTACCCGAAATAATTACACAGAAACTGTATTCTTTTAAACACTGCTTGGCCCATTAGTTCTAGCCTTTTATTGGCTAATTCTCACATCCTTGATGAACCCATTTCTAATAATCTGTGTAGCACCATGAGCTGGTGGTTTACCAGGGAAGATATTAACCTGCGTCTGTGTCCGGCGGGAGAATCATGGCGACTGACTGACTCGGCTTCTTTCTCCCAGCATTCTGTTCTGTTTACTCCGCCTACCTAATTTTCTGTCCTATCAAAGGCCAAGCAGTTTCTCTATTAATTAACCAATGAAAGCAACAGATAGAAAGATGACCCTCCTCCACCAAACAAAATGCCTTTCTCAGAGACCGCCTCATTCTTTTGACACATTGAATATGGAATATCTGATGTTTATCCCTGAGACAAAGCAAAGCTGGCTGATGACTATGGAGCTGAATATATATTTTGGGCTTTAGGAAGAGTGTAAAGATGCCATAAGTCACACTTTTCCTGTTGTAAACACATGAATCCTAAGAAGTTTGCTTTTTTATTACATACTTTTTAGTCTTTAAATTTTAATTTGATCTGATTTGATTGCTAAGGTAGAATGTTTTAGGGTCTGGGGAGACGGCTCAGCAGTTGAGAGCACTGGCTACCCTTCCAGAGGACCTGGACTCCTTTCCTAGCACCCACGTCATGGCTCCTCACCTTCCGTAATTCTAGTTCCAGGTGATCCAGTGTGTCTTCTGACCTCTGCTGGTACCTGACACTTAATGGAACTCAGATTTCATGCAGGCAAAACACCCAGACATAGAATAAAAATAAATCTTCAGATAGAATGTTTCAGAATTAAATGATAGCATTAAGAATGCATTTGATACTGGCGGTGGTGGCTCACACCTTTCATCCCAGCACTTGGGAGGCAGAGGCAGGTGGACCTCTGTGAGTTGAGGCTGGCCTGGTTTACAGAGTGAGTTCCAGGACAACCAGGACTGTTATACACACACACACACACACACACACACACACACACACACAAATGCATATGATATGAAATTTATGAGGTGGTAGAAGTGTGGCTGCCTACAACTTTAAAATTCATATTAATTGGGAATTCTATTAAAATAAAAGTATAAGATTTAATCAAACTTGGTAACCTACTTAACAGGAAATTTATAACGGAAGAAGACCCAACCCTCTGTTGTCATGATGGTTATGTTTGATCTAATGGGCTAGTGATGTGATGTTGTGGTTGTGTAACTACATTGGGTCCATTGTCACTGACTGGTTGGTATCACAGCCACTAACTGACTTCTGAAGCACTTGTTCTCCTCACGGCCGGTGCTGGTTCATCTAAGGACTTTTCCCCACACTTACACTGTTTATTGAGAGTCTAGTATATAGTGAATCTATCCATTAATAGTCGTACTGCCCTTTTTTCTGTTTAATTTAAAAGCTCTCTGTTTTTGCATTCCTGCCCTCAGAAGAATTACCTTGTACATGCCCCCTGTGTACCTCAGACCGAGGGAGCTGTGTTAGTACCACAGAAGGGATCCAACTTGCCAAAGAACTGGGAGCTACCTACCTGGAGCTGCACAGCCTTGATGACTTCTACATCGGAAAGTATTTCGGAGGAGTGGTAAGTGGAGAGCTTGTGAGCTCCTGTGCAGGCTGCTGCTGAGCTACGTTCCAGGGCCTCAATGAGTGCTTTCATTTCATAAGCATCAGAGAAACACAATAAGAGTTAAGTGCCAGAGGCTTAATCAGTGTAAAATTATAAAATTCTCTATCCAAATGAAACATTTTTAGTCATCTGTTAAGATTTTTAGAATCTTTCAAAATGGGTCCTTGTGTATGTCAAAATCACATGTTCTAATACAAACCTACACAAGTTTATAGTAATCTTGTTAGTGTGTCTGTATCTGTGTGTGTGTGTCCATGCACATACATGGACCCCTATGCCTGCATGTGGGCATGGGTACATATGTTCATACTTATGTGTGAAGGCCAGAGGACACTGCTCCCCCTTTTTAGGTACAGGGACGCTCACTGACCTAGCACATGCCAAGTAAGCTAGGCTGGCTGGTTAGTGTCACCCAGAGGTCCCCATGCTGGCCAATGAAATGCGCTTCACCATGTGCAGCATTGTGGGGGACACACGTGCCGTGTGTAGAAGCCAGTGGTCATTCAGAGGTCACTTTTGAGTGTTGCTTAAGGTGCCATCCACTTCTCTTTGTGAGCCAAGGTCTTGGTGGGCTGCAGCTCACCAGTGGCAAAGTTAGCCAGCCCATGAGCCCCAGACAAAACAAGTCAATCCTTCTAAATACATATTTTTAATATTAAAAATTGTTTGCACATGTTTGTTAGTGTTGGCACTGACATAGAAACCATTTGCAGATGTGATCTGGAATACAAATCGTCATGTCAGATATAATTGTGTTGGACTTAATTCTGCTTTGATTCATGTTTCAGTTGGAGTATTTTATGATTCAAGCCTTAAATCAGAAGACAAGTGAAAAAATGAGGAAAAGGAAAATGACCAACTCCTTTCACGGAATTAGACCGCCTCAACTTGAACAGCCAGGTGTGCAGACCTTAGGACATTCCTCATAGATCAATCTGAGCATGCTCAGGGCCGTTCGACATTCCCAGTGAACCTGGGTCAAGGGCCAGGACTTTCTTAACTGACACTAGAGCAGGTGTTAGTCAAACCACACTGCTGAGAAAGTGCTGACGTCAAGTTTGATCCTCTAGATTCTTAGCATGTGGTGAGAGGCACCATGGAGATAAAAGACTGACAGGTAGCTACAAAAGGCCATGCCAGTCTTAACTGGGTGCTGCGCAAAAAGTCATCCAAAAAGCAATCTTGGGACACTTGGTGAAATCTTAATGTGAACTGAAAGCAAGATGAGGTTGTAGGTTTATTGTTAATTTTTTCACCTATCATGATTACTAAGTCAGTGTTCTCACAGTCGTCTAATGCCTGCAACTCACCTTTTAAAGGATTCAGCTGGTGTGCGCGTGTACCTGTGTCTGTACCTTCGTGTCTAGTGATAAAGCAGGATGACAGAGTTAATTACTGCAGGATGAATGAAAGAATGTGTGTGTGCACTGTCATTTGTGCTACAGAGTGTAAAATCACAATCATCAAAACATTTTACATGATTTATGATATAATCATGAAATCTGTTATCTGTTGGGTCAGTTTGTCTTCGATATTATTTCTAAAAATAATAGATACTTGATATCATAGAACCATGACTATAGTTTTCTATCACTTTTGTTTTGGTTTGGTTTTTGAGACAGGGTTTCCCTGTATAGCAGTCCTGGCTGTCCTGGAACTGACTTTGTAGACCATGCTGGCACCCAACTTACTTAGATTAGCCTGCCTCTGCCACTTAAGTGCTGAGGTTAAAGGTGTGCCACCACTGCCCAGCTAACTACAGTTTATTATGATAATTTATTGTGTTTTATGAAGACATGGAAAAGATGGGTTTGAAAGCCTCAAATACAAAGAAATGATGATGAGATGCACATTGTATAAATAACCAGTGTGTATTCCATAAATGTGAGAAATTCCTATTTGTCAAAAAGAAAAAGCACCTTAAAGTAGGCACAGGAGAACTAGCTATTGAATCAGTGTAGATGTCAACCAAGGGAACACAAGTTAGAACTGAGGAATCACTTCCAGTTTCAGATAAGGTTCAGGTAAGGTCTATTATGTGGTAAATTCTGGGGCCTAAATACCTTCAAGGCGAAAAGAACAAATAGTGGAGACAGCTAATTGTTCTCACTGATCCAAAGGAGAGAACCAAACACCCAACACTGTTTGACACAGATAGAAACTCTCCAAGTGGCTTCTTTGGGGGTCTGAGTAATATAGTATATCAGGTCCCCAGCAGTGTGTTGGCAGCAGAGATAACCTGTGTGTTTACAAGACTGTTTCATGTGTCTTTTAGTTTAGATGACCGTGGGCCGAGCTCTAAATAAAACAGGACGCAGTGTGACTGCCCGCAGGTGTCTTTGGGGTGGAATGCTTCTAGGGATTAGCACTGGGCTCTGGGACTTAGCATCTGGGGTCCTGTGAGGTAGGGTGGCCTGGGGTGCACCGCAGGGAACCTGGTCCTCAAAGCTGCTTATCAGGGTCCCAGACCCAGCTCCCAAGCCTAGTCCATATAAAGGACTCCTATTGCTGAAGGAGTTGACTCACTTGCTTGGGGTGCCATGCATGGGCAGTCTTTCCCTTACATCCCTCTGCTCAGGTTTGTCAACAAGGTCAGGTTTTCTGGGGAGGACATGAGCTGAGGATATATATTCTGGGCTCATGGAAAGCTCTCTTCAGCAGGATCAAACTAGTCATGGGAAATCTAAGGGCATGTTCTGTGTAGGAGCCCATGGATTGCAGTCACCACCACGGCTGAGGTATGTTAAGTGAAGAGCCACTGGCAGATTGGTGAGGGAGATTATTTCACTAGAAGTAATAAAAAGACATGGATCAAAGTAAAATTGTTAGGATGATGTCAGACAATAGAGTAGTTAGAGTCATTGCAATTTATGAAGGCATGGGGATTTGCTGGTGTTAAGTGGTCCCCCTTGGCCTCCACTCCTCATCAGATGCTGAAGATTTGAAAGTAGGCTCTTCAGAACTTAGTTGAATTTTTTTTTTAATCAGAAGAATGTTGACTCCCAGCCCCCATACTAAAGGCCTGTACCTGGTCCCAGCCCCCATACTAAAGGCCTGTACCTGGGAGAGTGTTTGGTTTGAGCCACAAAAATAATGAGAAATGTTACTTTATTGCTCAAGTCATTAGGTTTTCATCTTCAGTACAAAATGAAATGTCATATTCATGTGCGTTCTGTAAAATGTGCTTCGGTAATCCCTGATGGACTACCGAGTTCATGTGCTCTTAGGTTAAACTGTACAGTGATTTGTAGACTTAAGCAAACGGGCAAGTATTGGTTCTTTGCAGGATCCCATCTCTGGGCCTGTAGACATAAAAATAGGTTATTATCTTTATTGTCCCTCGGAAACAGAAAAGATGCCTGTCTTGAAAGCCGAAGCATCGCACTACCACTCCGACTTGAACAACTTGCTGTCCTGCTGCCAGTGTGTGGACGTGGTGTTTTACCATCCGGAAGTGACGGGCGTCGCGCAGGCCCACAAGATTGTTCTCTGCGCTGTGAGCCACGTTTTCATGCTGCTGTTTAATGTGAAGAGCCCTACCGACATTCAGGATCCCAGCATCGTCCGGATGACCCGGGACCTCTTCGCCATCAACAGAGATGCTGTGCGTCCAGGTGCTAGCCAGGAATCTCCCAGCAACCCGCCGCTGCGAGTCGTCGTGAAGGACGCGCTCTTCTGCTCGTGTTTGTCCGATATTCTGCGCTTCATTTATTCAGGTACCTTGGCCGACTCTTCCGGGCCCTTCTGCTCTCTCAAGCTCCCTGGAAGTCTGTGAGAGTCTGGGTTAATTTTACATTTATCTTAGCCCCTGACATCTGAGGTGATACTTATACATGAAATGTAGTATTTACTTTATATGTAGAAATTAGTTCAAGTTTTTTGTCTTTTTGACAAATTTATTTGCCTTAATGGCAAAATCACATAGCATGCATTTGCTATTTTAGCCCTTTTTAAGTGTACAATCCAATGATACCAGATGCATTTATAGAATACAATTGTTTCCATTATTTCTACATTTCTTTACTTTGAAAATTGAAAGTATGTCCCCATTAAATCGCGGCAAGCCCCGGGCAGCCGCTGCACTCTCTGTGGTTTTGACTACTCTGTGTGCCTCGGATGGTTTATTTCATTTACCATAATATCTTCGGGGTCATGCAGGTGGTCACTTAGTCATTTTTAATGCATTGGAAAGAGCACAGCAGTTGTTAGAAACTTAAAAACAGAATTCCCACATAACATAGCACTTCGCTTCTGGGTATCTACCTAAGTGACTGAAAGCAGGTGTCAAAGAAGAGCTGTACAGCCGTGCTCATAGAAGCACTGTACACCGTGGATAAAATGGTGAATGTGACCCACATGTCAGCAATGTATTAATGAGCAAACTGAAAATGGTATATGTATGCAGTGGGAAATTATTCGACCCAAAGAAACCAGGTGGTTAAAATTTAACTATGTTTTTAAAAAGAATCGCTGTAGTTGAGTTTTGCTAGAAAAGTGAGAATAATGTGGTCGTGCTTAGGGAATTGTGTTTTGGGAAATTCACAAGTGCGGCCCCATAGGGCCTACTGCCTTCAGCGTGGGAGATTGACAGTGTGTTTCAGCGGCCTTGGAGAGCAGGTTCAAGTAGCTGGAGCCATCAAGTTCATGATTTCTTCTAGGTCTACAAATTTTAGTGTTTAAACTTGGATCTCACAGCTCAGAATTTAATACTAAGTCTAAAACAGTTAAGATGTTTGCATGTTAAGAAAAATGGTTGTAATGACATGTCTAAGCAACACTGACGGAGGTGTTTGACTTTCCAGTGAGTTTACTGTTGAAATTCTATGAATTATTCAGCAGCCCTCCCATAACATCCATTTGATCCTGGAAGGCACACGAGCACTCTGAGTTATTTATGCCTTCTTTAGTATGGTAGCTGTAAAACAGGTCCAGTACCCAGAGACTGAACCTGCCGGCCATTCTCCTAGGATGCTTTGTACATTGTGAAGTCAGCTCAATAGAGATTTGGGGGGGGGGGTGTGTGAATGCAGGCCAGTGGACAAAAGGCAAAAAGAAGAAAAGGTTCTCTGTGTACCCCCACGCCTTCCCCTGCCAGCTACCTAGGACAGCTTTCAGAATGAGGGAATTCCCTCAGAGCCTACTGCAAAGAGGTTTTATTCGCCTGTATGTTTGCTCTGGTAAACATGCAGTCCTTACGTGCTGTCTTCTGGGGACCAGGGGTCCTTTCCTAAGACATGGATCACAGAGGAGAAGATGGGGCCAGCAGGGCTTGGGGGAATTGTTGCTGCGGTTTCTGCAAGCTATGATGCTGTTCTCTTTGTGCTCAGGCTGGCCTTTCGAAGCCTCAAGTGTGGTTGGGATGGAGGGAGCTTGAAGTAGAGTGGGAAAGACAGGAATTCAGTGGGGAAGCTCCATCAGGGAGGCCGGCGTTGAGACCTTTCCTTATCTAGACAGGTCAGAGGTCACCAGAGTGTCCAATTCTGGTGATGTGACTGGGGTGGAGTGCGGCGTGAGCTTTGTTCCCAGCAGGTGTTTGATACTGGGCTTGGGCTGTGGCTCATGAACCGGGGCTTAGATTTCAGTTGAGAGACTGGGCCGGGAGCAAGGAAATGGGGTGCCTGGGCACAGCAGAGGCTATGCAATATCGGGAAAGTGAGCTCCTCGGCCAGCTCAGAGCTTCTCCACTTCTGCACTGCTGCTCTGGTCTCCTGTGTCTCAGGCAGGCAGGAGATAGGGCGGTTTGACCTTGGGCTGAGGTAGAAGGAGCCTGATGCAGGTGGAAACGGAAGAAAAGCTGGATCTGCAAGTTCTTATCAATCATTCTTTAACTATGTACAAACGATAAATCTGAACTGAGCAAAAGGAAGCCTAAATTCCATTTTAGAAGATGCTAAAGCCACCATTACACAGTTCCTTAAAATGTATTTTCGCTACAAGAAAAACAAACACAGATGCCATTGCCCAGACAAAATATCTGAGTATCACTCTTGTTTGTTTTCTCTGTTAGGTTCTCATTTGTTAATAGATTAGTGCTTTAAAAAATATTATTTTTTGGCGGGGCGGTGGTGGCACACGCCTTTAATCCCAGCACTTGGGAGGCAGAGGCAGAGGCAGGCGGATCTCTGTGAGTTTGAGGCCAGTCTGGTCTACAAGAGCTAGTTCCAGGATAGGCACCAAAGCTACAGAGAAACACGCACACGCACACACACACACACACACACACACACATGTACACAAAGTGAAACAAAAAAATCTTAAAGCTACATGTATCATAGGATCTTCAATAAGGCCTGGAAGATCTGGGACATTTTCAAGCCTCTGCATGGAGCGCAGGTTTCCAGACCCACTGCATAGTGGTTTCTTCACAGTCCACAGGTCACAGCATTTGTCAGGGACATTGGAGGACAGCCGTGGTTTGTGTATGGCAATGGGGCTGCTAAGCAAGGACAGAACTCCATGGCACAGCTTGCATAAACAGGGCTCAAAAGCTACAATAAACCTGTCTTCTGCCCTTTAAAAAATAGTCAACCAGACCACAAAGGTTCTTTCTAAATGATGCCAGACTTGCCTTTTGCCTCTGGGAATTGGGCTATGTAGATGTTTTGGCTTAGTGTTAGAAGTCACTATTTCAAAGTCCGGTTAGCATTTTATACTCACATATGAGCCTTCAGTCTGTTTTCCTCTTAAAAAGTTTTGAATAACTTTTTAGATACAGTCCAGGTGTGTGTTAACCTTCCGATGTATAAGAAGTGTTAACGTTTGGTAAGTAATGCCTGCGGACCAGGGCTACGGCAGAGTGAGAGCCGCAGTTTCTGTGTTCGGGGAGTTACCCTGAAGCAGCATACGCTTGTAGCATTCTTACAATACTTGATAGTTTGACTTGAAAATTCCTGAGTCACGTGATCTCGATTGGTTAGAAATTGAAATATTTGTAAGAGACTCGAGAATGCATCTTTGAGGTGGACCTAAGGTGACCTAGAATTCCGCATGCAGGTGAGCAGGTAGGCGAGCCTTCGGGTTCACTTTGCCTGGGGTTCTCTCCAATACTCGCAATTCTGCTCATGCTCTTTCCTGTGCAACAGAAACAGCGTAGGGTACCTGAACGTGCTGTGCTCTTCAACAGACTATGTAAACTGCTGAGGGACTTGAGAAATTATCCTTGGGAAACCGCAGTGAACAGTGCAAGATGAGGAGCTGCTACAGGTCCAGCCTCATGGCACCGTGCCTGTTGTTGGCAATGCTGAATCCCTGGATCCCGAAAACATTGTTCAGGGGTAAATCTCATCTTAAACATCATCACCGCGGAAAGGAAGGCCTAGTCTCAGGATGGCTGTTTTATTGGCAGTTAGGGTGTCAAAGATAAGTGATTAGTATTTCTAGCTACGAAAGCAGCCTGCTCGCTTGAGTGCCCTTAGGAATTTGTCTTGGTTTCTGGCTCTTGCCGAGTCTGTTTTCGACCAGCGGAGTGGCCCCCTCAGGTTTGCCCGTTATTCAGATTACTCGATGCTTGCTTTCAGGTAGTCCTGTGAATGGAGGTAGTGTGTAGATGTTCTTTAGTTAACATCATTTTACTATTATTAGCTAGATGTAAGGTTTACTCCACAATATTAAAGGTTAGTACCGATATTGTAACTATGTTCTCCTTCAGTATAGATGAGGGTAGACAAAGACAGCTGTGCCTGCTGTAGGCTGTGTGCCACTATCTGGGTGTTGATAATGTCTGGGATTTTAGTTTTTTATTTATTTATTTATTTTTATTATTTCTATTGATATTTATTGAGCTCTACATTTTTCTCTGCTCCCCTCCCTGCCTCTCCCCTTTCCCCCTTCAATCCTCCCTCAAGGTCCCCATGCTCCCAATTTACTCAGGAGATTTTGTCTTTTTCTACTTTCTACTTCCCATGTAGATTAAATCTATGTAAGTCTCTCTTAGTGTCCTCATTGTTGTCTAAGTTCTCTGGGATTGTGGTTTGTAGGCTGGCTGGAATTTTTAAAGTAAGAATACGCTCAACAGTAGCACTCAGAGTACAGTAGAGCTCTGGGAGGTTTAAAAGACGCCAGTGTCTGGAACCCTAGCTCCAGAAAGTCTAACAAACTCTTTTTATTCAGGACAGTATGATGCCCAGCTAGAATGGAGGCACAGTCTGGGCTCCATTGGTTTCTAAGGCATTTGATAATCCTGGCATTTTTGTTCCTTCTTTTATGTATGAGAATTATTGCTCAGGGGTTAGGGAGATGGCAGAAAAGTTAGCTACAGATTCAGTGGAAAAACCTCTTCTTGCTGTAGTCATTCCAGGCTATTAGCGGGTGGGCATGAGCCTAGCGTATAGCCCTCTGAGGCACTGGTGTCAGGACTGGTCACCCATGCTTGAGCTAGTTACTAAGCAGAGTGAGCGGCTCTCTCATGATGCTCTGGGCCGGCTGCAGCCCCAGCTTTGCTCTGTGTAGTGTCTTGCTGTGCGGTCTTTAGCAACACAAACACCTCTGTCTGCAAGTCTCAGAGGACACTCAGCCTGGTGTCAGCAGCCAAGAGACTAAGAGGCTGTCAGAAGAAAACTGTGTTCAGAAGCACCAAGATTTAGCAAGGACAGGAAGGAATGAACCTTCCAAATACAGGGAAAAACCTTTTGGCATCCTCTCCCTGGGGTATCAATGACTAGGGATACGCACCACACAATCGCCTTTGAATACAGGGGTCCTGACATTTTTATACAGATCTTTTGTCTTATGTGTGCATGGGAGGGTTTTTGGAAAGATGATCCAAAGAATTTGTAAGACTGTGGAAAGACTATGTGTGACCAGTTAAAAATCACCGATATAAAAAGGGAGAGAAGGGGGGCAGGTTTTAGCGGCTCATTCTTCTGGAGCACGGAATGGACGGTGACCCAGCAGGGACGTCAGAACAGAAGAGTTGTCACAGGTAGGAGAGGAGGGCAGTGGTGAGCTGGAGTCAGACCAGCACCTGTGGGAGCAAGGCTGTTGCGTTTACAATTTTGGCCTGGCTATGAGTGTCAAGAGGATGGAAATGGCAAATGCCCCGAAACCGGAGTGAGAGAGAAGAGTGAGAGCACTCTGCAATGCTGACGTGCCCGGACTGGAGACATGGCTTGGTGGTGAAGGGCACTTGGAGAAGACCTGAGTTCCATTCCCAGGACCCAAGTGATGGCTAGCAACGGAATAACTACAGTTCTAGGGGAACTAACACCCTCATTTTGTTTCTTCAGGCACTGCACACATGTAATTCACTTACAAACATGTAGTCAAATATTCATACACATAAAAATAAACCAATCTTTTTTGTAAAAAAAAATTAAGAAACAAGTGCCAGGGACCCTGAGCTTCAGGGAGAGCCTATGGGTCAGGATCTTCGAGTCAGGTTTGGTTCTCTGGCAGAAGTTGACTGATCTCATTGGATTAAAATGTGAGTTATATGTCTTGCTCAGTCCTCAGTCTCAATCATGAGGGCTTCTGCAGAGTGCTGGAGATAGGCAGGGATGCACCAGGGCAAGATTAGGAGCAGATGCCAAAGGGTCCTGATCACCCCCCAGACAGGCGGGATGACTCCCTTGAATTCACCCAAGTGTTAATGGCAGATCAAGCTGGAATGTGGACCTCCTTACCTGCCTGTCCATGGTATATTGTTTTAATTTTATTTTTAGGAGTTTGACCTCCTGTAAGTCATGGAAGGGTGAAGGTGATCCCTTATGTGATGGGGTGAATTAGAATGGCCTCAATAGGCTCATATATTTGAATGCATAGTCACCAGGGAGTGGAAATGTTTGAAAGGATTAGAAGGATTCGGAGGTGTTGCCTTGTTGGAGGAAGTGTGTCAGTGGGCATGGGATTTGGAGTTTCCAAAGCCACACCAGGCCCAGGCTTCTCTTTCTTTGCCTGCCTGACTGCAGGTCAGGATGTAGTTCTCAGCTCTTTGTCCAACACCAGTCATACTGCCATGTTGCCCACCACGATGATAATGAACTAAGCCTCTGAAGCTATAGGTAAGCCCCTAGTTAAACACTTTCTTTTGTTGTTGCCTTGGTCTTCACAGCAGTAGAACAGTAACTAAGACTCCTTGGAACATCATGAGCAGAAATAATAATTTTGAAAGTTTAGCTTGAATAATAGGATGATCACAAGGATGAAAGGTCTTTGGAAGCAGGGAGGTTGGGCAGGAAAGATCATCTTTTGGAGAAAAGGCAGTGGGCAGGAGTGGGGGCAGAAGAGCAGCTTTGCAGGTGGCCAGAATGGAGGCGATGCTCAGAAAAGGTCTGCTGCTGCTGTGGGCTCTGGGGATGAGTGTGTCAGAAAACCCCCTCACTGCCTTTCTCAGGTTAGTTTTGGAGAGTTCCAGGGTAGACTTTTCACAGAAATTCATCCTGGCCAGTGCTGCCAGCTGAACACCTGCTGCAGAAATGGTGGCTGCCAAGGAGGAAGTCTGTTCTGAGCAGTGGCTCTCAACCTTCCTAATGCGTGGCCTTCAGTACAGTTCCTCATGTTGTGGTGACCCCCCCCACCATAAAATTATTTTTGTTGTTATTTCATAACTGTAATTTTACTCCTGTTATAAATCATTATGTAAATATTTGTGTTTTCTGGTTGTCTTGGACAACCCCTGTGAAAGGGTTGTTGGACCCCAAAGGGGTCATGACCCACAGGTTGAGAACCATTGGATTAGGGGAAGTCAAACTAACTTGTTAAACACATACTTCAATCATAAAGAGATATGTTTGCTCCAGAGAAATTAAATACAAAAGAAGGAAGCGTTTGTAATCTAGAAGATTTTCACACCTCCTACTCACATAGAACTTCCTGACATGTGGTTCCTTCCAGGTGCTTTTCAGTGGGAAGAGCTGGAAGAAGACATCAGGAGGAAGCTGAATGACTCAGGGGATGTTTCCGATGTAATCGAGAAAGTGAAATGCCTTTTAAAAACACCAGGAAAGGTAAATTATTTTGACTCTGAATTATAACAGATTCATTTTGATACTCTAACATTGAGTCATTAGCAAAGTTAAATAATTCATAAATAGAAATGCTTTTTTCTGTGTATATGTTTCTATTTAAATGTTTTAAAAAGAAATGTATGTATTTCTTACTAAGATTTTACTTTATGTAAGGATTAAATTAGGTGTGACTCATGCCTTTGAAATGTTCACTTGTGAATTCTGCTTTCACAGCAGCCCACTGGGGCCCTGGGAACACACAGCCCATGTTGGAAATGAGAACTGCTAGCCTCCTGCAGCTGCAGCTGCCTCCAGGAGGTACCCATCCTCACACCATGTGATTTTCCAGGAGCCTTGGGGAGTAGGGCTGCTCCCGTAAACTTTTAAAGAGTTCTGAGCAATATATTTAATCAAATGGGCAGTTGAGGAGTCTCTTGAGTACATGTTCAAAATTACAAACTGGGTTCAAGGTTATAAAAATACTGAAGTTGTAAGACAATAAAACTGCAGTGATTTAGATTATACAGAGTCTGTAAAAGTTTTAAAAGTAGATTTGTAAAACTTTAAGACAAGTGTGTTGCACAATCTAGCCAGTTTATTCTTATTTCAGAGTCTGTGATAAGCAAACTGGCTGCAGTAGATAAAATAAGGGTCAGCTAAGCACAATGCTTAGCAAAATATAAGGCAAATATTCCTTTATTTTTAATAGATGAACATTAATAACATTTAAAGTTAATAGTTGAAAAATATGTACTGTATTAGGTTTTCATTTCTTCTCATGTTTAAAAGTTGTGTGTACACAGTTGTGTGTGCACAGTTGTGTGTACACAGTTGTGTGTGCCCAGGAACACACACACAGCTGAGAGGACAGTCTTTAGGAGTGGGTTCTTCCTTCTACTGTGTGGGCTCCAGGGTTACACAGACAGAAGGTGACTTTGCTCTCTGCCCCCCCCCCTTTCTGGGTTTTTGTTGTTGTTGTTGTTGTTGTTGTTGTTGCAGTGACTCATTATATAGTCAGGCCAGTTTCAAACTCTTTGTAGCCCTGACTGGCTTCAAGCTCTCTATGTAGCCCAGACTAGCTTCAGACTGGTAGCTTTCTATCTTAGCTTCCCTGGTGCTGGGATTACATCTGTACAACCACACCTGCTTGTACTAGCTTTTCAGGAAGGTTCTTAATTTTCCTTAGTTGAGGAAAGAAATTAACAGAGAAACCCAGAATTAAGGGTGTAGTAACTCAGTGCAGCAGATAATCCCAGGCTGAGCAGCCTTACAGGAATCAGAATAGCTCTCTTTCAACCTAACTCGCTGAACAGTCCTGTAAAAAAGGATGCACAAATGCCTGGATTCTCTTTACTCAGACCAGAGTTGATGAACCGGGGGAATGTCTCTCTCTCCATCTCTCACACACATACTTCATACATAGTGAATATCTCTATAAGATCCGTGATGCACAGGTTTAGAACCTACATGGAATATTCAGAGTCTTGCTGGTGTTCGAACCCATCTTTTCCTCGGGTCTGATTTAGCACTTGGCCCTTTGTGGTACGGAGAGTAATATCAACTCGGACCAATGATGAGAAGCCTGGACTATGGGATTCCGTGACACTGAACTGATTTCCCTGCACAGGTGGGAGGCTGCTCCCACGCTAAATACTTTCTGTTTCTCAAGTGTGTCATAGGAATGTAACACTGTGTCGGCAGATGGGAGTATCGATTTAAATTGTGAGTATGCCACGAATTATTACTGCAGTTTTGAGCAGTTTAGCCTTTTCTTTCAGACTGTGCATAAAACAAGGTATACCCCAAGGCCCTGCTAGCTCTCTACTTCCAGGCTGGGTGTTGGCGGCCACTCTCTACAGGTGTCAGTCACTTGCATCCTAAACACCAGCTCCTCCAGTGGGTGCTGCGGCACAGTGCTGAGACCTTCAGCTGGAGGACCAGGTCTTTTGTTGCTTTCTGCCCTTCTGTCTTGCCTCTGGATTTCATGCTGAACTGGGTTTTCTTTTTCCTTGTCAAGAGGATTGTATCATTTTCTTCCTTCACAAAATTTTTGGAAACTTCCCTCCAAAGTAGACTAGCCCAATGTAGACAATTAGGTATCACTTATTCTCCTTGCTGGAGTTGGCTTTGTGACTTCTGAAGGATAAAGGCTCCTCATTTCCCTAGCTGGTCGGAAATACAGCCAGGGAACTGATGGAGTCACCAGGAGTAAGTAAACAGCCAGGCAGCGATGGTGCACGCCTTTGATCCCAGTCCTCTGGGAGGCAGAGACAGGCGGATCTCTAAGATTGAGGCCAGCCTGGTCTGCAAAGCTAGTTCTAGTTCCAAGACAGTCAGAATTACACAAAGAAACTGTCTTTAAAAAAGTAAAAATAATTTCAAATAGAACCATAACTAAATCATTCCAACTGAGGGATTGTGGCCATACAATTGAGATTGTAGCCTAATTTGGGCAACTCTACTTGAAAATGCTGTTAAGATTTGTTTCATTTCATTGTAAAGGAAAGTTAGAGAAAATACAACAGAAAAGGATGGAGGCGAGGAAAGAGGGGCCGTGGGCCTGTCGGATAGTGACCACCAGGGATTGTCTGGAGAGACCTCAGCAAATGAACCTAGTGCTGAAGCTGAGGTGGGATGAGGCACTGTGGGAACTGGGCTGGCCCGTGTGCTGGGACAGGTCATGTGATGTGGGTGGAGTCCCAGGGGCTGTCTGTAGGTTCCAGTTGTCTCTGCTACACACACACACACACACACACACACACACACACACATGCATGCACGCACATTCAAACACACACGCAAACACACCAGCAACAACAGTAAAAACAAACAAAAGATAGTTATCATTAGAAAATTGTATTCAAATCTAAATTCACCACTCTGAGATTTTTTTTAAATATTCATTCTTTAGGAGAAAACAATGACCTGCTAGGCCATAAGAGAACTTGTGTGATAAAGAAATAGAGATTTATTTGTGTTGTATTAGTGGCTCTCAGGGAGTCAGGATCCCTGGCCACCACCTAGCCAGTTGCTGTGCTGTGTGCTCAGTGGCCTGCTGCTGCTCACCTGCCAGCCAGCAGACATAGTGCTTGAGGGGAGCACCCTTCACAGATGTGGTTGGAGGTGCCATCATGAGGCAGGCAGCAGACATAATGCTTGAGGGAAGCACCCTTCACAGATGTGGTTGGAGGTGCCATCATGAGGCAGGCAGCAGACATAGTGCTTGAGGGGAGCACCCTTCACAGATGTGGTTGGAGGTGCCATCATGAAGTAGGCAGCTGAGATTTCTTACCTGCAGTTCTCCATGCTTGCTATCAAATCATACTAAACAACTTCCTACATGTCTGTTTTCTCCTCATAGATCAATTGCCTGAGGAATTGCAAGACCTACCAAGCCAGAAAGCCTCTGTGGTTCTATAATACATCACTCAAGTTTTTCCTCAATAAACCAATGCTTGCTGATGTTGTCTTCGAAATACAAGGTGTGGTTCAGCTCATACAGAGTGCTTTTTATGGTTTTGATTTTTACTTGCTCCCCTCACGTTCTCGTTCAGCTTTATACTTGGGATGGAGGAATTAGTGGTTTCTGTTGCAGGACATGAAGTAATGTGAACATGAAGTAATACCATCTTAGTTTTAAGAAAGTCATTTTATATTTAATTTTTCCTTCCATATACTTCATCTACTTTTCAGGATCTGCAGGGCATGGAATGATGTTTAGTGTGTCATTTTTCATTTTAATTTGTATATTTCTTTATGATCCTGTTTTCTGGTTCATCTGAAGCCACCTATCATAAAAGCACATTATCTCTTGCTTTGTTTATTCAGTTTTTTAAAAAAATTGTCTGACGTACATCAGGCACCCACAGTTATTGCTGAGTGTGTCTCGAAATACTGTGAGAATTCTTATCACCAGAGCACCTGGATTACACTTCTCTCTATGGGGAAGTAATGCTGCCCGTCTTTAATAAAGATGAGCTGTCCTGGAAGCTCAGGGCAGATTACTTGCATGTATAATTCTGTCACTTTAATAGATTAAATGCAAAATCTTAAAGATGAGTTGTCATATACCTTCAATTATGCAAGGATAAGAGGAGTTGTTTGCAAATAAATTAAGTAGAATTTTTAGATGGGCCACTGTAAAGAGGGAGATGGAATTCTAGTTTGGGGTTAGAAATACGTGGCAGCTAGCATAGCCTTTATTTTTTTTTAATCTTTTCCCCAGAAAGAGTCTCCTTACTTTTAATTTTGGTCGTATGTCAATAAAACTAGTGAATTGAATTTTTTCCCAAAGTTTTATTGGCAGCACCAAATGCAGTGTGAGTCTGGGACTCTGAAAGTGGGAGAGTTAGAGTGACCTTGAGATACATTTAAAACTTCCTGGTGAGAGAGGGAGCCACTCAACAGCCATAGGCTAATCTGTAATGCTCTCATCGGGTTAGAAGACCTGCAGCTGACTAACCAGACCCTGGTAGTGGTCCGCTCACATTGCTTGCCAACATGAAGAGTCCACGGAGTCTCACTGTGGTGGGGAAGGCTTCTTAGAGGAACAGCCAGTGGGAACACAGAATTTACTCCTAGGGGAATGCTGTTGATGAAGGCATTTGTGGGGAGTGCCTGGGTGTTCTAGACACCAGAGAAACACCAGGATAGCTAGCTAAGAGGCTTCACATTCCAAATGACAGCACTATGTCCACTGCTAAGAAAAAATTTAGCCTATAAATTAAAAAATATTTCTACCTTTACCAAATTAATAGTCTCAAGTCCTTTTGTGAAAGCTAGAATAACAGTTTCTGTGTTCCAAAGGAGGGTAACTGATGCTCTTGCCCACGTGACCTCTAATTGGTGGCCGAGGTCTAACCTTTAGCTACATCTGTGATGTACAGTTGATGAATTTTATGCTGAGCAGACTCTGAAAGATAAACTTCCAAATGTCCTGGGGTTACACGACAACATAGGGTATGCTTTTTGTTAGGGGTTAAACGTGTTGTGGGATTATCTGACGTGTGTGTGGTAAACATACAAGCATTGTTCCTGCATCTGGGCTGAGGTATGTTCTGAAATGCCTTTCAAGACCTGTGTGGTAAGAAGGTTGCACATTGTGGGTCTCTGGGACGCTGCTCACCTTCAGTCCAGGGGCCAGGGTGAGTCCACTTCTTGCCACCTGCACAGTATTTGATGTCACACACAATACAGTTAGCCTGGCATTCTTTTGTTGTATGTATGTATGTAGTGTATATGTATTTATGACAGGGTCTCACTATGTAGCTCAGGCTATCCTGGAACTCTCACACTATAGATCCAACTGGCCTTGAACGTACAGAGATCTGCCTGCTTCTACCTCCCACATGCTGGAATTAAAGGCGCGCACCACCACACCTGGCCATGACATTCACTTCTTAAGGTATGGTCAGATTCTAGTCATTTTTTGGCTGTTCCCTTTTTTTCCCCTTAAATAGCCTAGATCTCTTTAGTTGAAGTTTCGCTGAACTCTAGGCCTGTAGAAGCTAGGAGAGCATCAGACCCCATGGGACTAGAATGACGCCATCTGTGAGGTGTGGGTGCTGGGAACCAGAGCTCTGGCCAGTGAGCCATCTCTCTGCAGCTCCATTCCCATGCTGCTCTTCCGCTGCACCGGAACAGCTCCCATGTTTGCATGGCAGACGTTATTGCTGCTTACCGTTAGCATACGAGGAATTGGCACCACACTTCATGTCATTGTAACCTGCTGTGCAGAGCTTTGAAGGAAAATAGAGATTCTTTCCCCATTTAATCCCTTGCTTTTCTTCTGCTGTGTCACTTCCCGACCCTCTCCGCCAGCCCCTGCCCGCTCACCCACGTGTGCGAGGGCTCCGGCTGTGTCACATCTGATGATGTGCGCATCTGTACACAACTTCAGGCCACTCCCCTTTTTGAAAGTTACATTTATTTCTTATTAATTAATTAATTAACTACTTTGGGGTGTGTGGTGTGCATGCCCTGGCAGTCATGTGGAGGTCAGAAGACAACGTGTGGGAATTGCCTCTTTCCTCCTGCTCTATGGGCTCCAGGGAATGAGCGCAGGTTGTTAGGGTTGATGGCAAACCCTCTCTCCACTGACCCATCTCATAATCTTCACTTTATTTTTTGCTTGTTTGTTTTATTTTGTTTTTTTTTCAGTACAGAATTTAATTTGTATATTTTGATTGGTTGTGTTTGTGTACTACTCTCCATCTGCTGGAGACGTTCCCTTGACGAGGAGTGAGGACTACACTTATCTGTAGGTATAATGACAAATGTTTATAGATTATTGTTAGGGATTGTTCTGCTTTAGTAAATTAGTGGTTGTAGATTTTCCTCCAGTAACCATGATTGCACTAGTCCTGAGTGGTTAGCTAGGTTTCCAGTACCAGGCATGGTTTCTTTCTTGTTGATCAGGTTTTAAATCCAATTAGAGAATTATTTTCTCGAGGTATACATTCACTACTGCACTATTAGGGTCACTGTGTCATGCTGGTCATTGCCGTGGCTCATAGGCCTCATAGCGGGGTGAGACTCTTGGCTGCCTCCCTCCTTTGGAAGCTTGCATGATGCAATAGTAGGCTGTGTGTTTTCAGAGGCTGTGTAGGCTGTGTGTCCTGGCCAACAGCTCAGAAGAGGGCTTCTCATGTCTGGCATTGGGGTTTGTTAGATGATCTTTGGTTCTTGGGGGGAGCATCCTCAGACAGATGAGAAAAGTTCATGAGGACTATATATGTATATTTATACACAGAATTGCATGTATTAGAGGTTTCTTTCTTTCTTTTTTTGGGTAAAGAACAGTATGATTTCTTGTGGCTTCTTCAGATCCTTATTGTAATTTTACCCATCTCCTTCCTGCTTCTGTATTCACCTCCCTCCCATTTCCTAAAGATCCTCCACTTTTGCATTTCCCTCTAACAAGCAGCCCCCCCTGTCTTGACAACAATCCAGCTTTATTTTCTTGGTTTCTATAGTAACTACAGGCTATGTGTTCACATCAGAAGATTCAGAGTTGGAGCCTCCACTGAAAGACAGCACATAGTGTTTGTCCTTCTCGGTCTGGATTACCTTGCTGAGTATGGTCTTTTCTAGTTTCTTCCATTTACCTGCAGAGTCCATGGCTTCACCTTTCTCCACAGCTGAGTAGTATCCCATAGTGTATATGCACCTCATTTTCATTATCCGTTTGTCAGTTGTGGGGTCTTTAGGTTGTTTTTATTTTCTGGCAACTTGCTTTTTGAGACAAGTTCTTTCACTGGGACCCGGGACTTGCTTAGGATAGGCTCACTGGGAAATTGTCCCCCAGAGTTCTTTCTGTTGCCACCTACCCGGCCCTGGTAGGATGGCAGGCTTGAGCTACAATGTCCACTTGTTTTATTTTGTCTGTAGGGTTTGTGCTCAGGTCTTGAGCTTTCACAAGAAGCACTTTATGAGCAGAAACATCTCTCGGTCCTGTTGAATGGTTCTTGGTTTCATTCGTCCATTTCTTTGTTTAGCTTTCATGGAAGTGGCTGTGTGCAGTGTGACTATGTATCTGACTTTGTGGTTAATCACTAATTTAAATGTTTCATACCAAAATGAGGAAGGGAAAACATTCTTATATATAAATTAATTTATATTGAAACTAAGACAGACCCTTTGAGTAATAGCTGGATAACAACTCTCCTTAAATCTTAGGTATAAAACTTTTTATATGTTATAGTGAAATCTTAGTTAAACATGTGACTTTTTTCACTACATATCTTACCTAAAATATTTACAATGCAAAACATATTCTGAAAAAGTCACATTGAGTGTTGGTGATAGCCAGATGTTACTTCAGCATTTTTAGCACAGATTAAAAAAGTAATGAGAAAGATAATGTAGGGATAAAATTAGTGTTTATTGAGGTATAATAATTTTTTCATGCAATACTAGCAGTCAGTCTTTGGCTCCTTCACTCCAGTTGGACACCACCTCTTGACGTTTTCAGATAAAGAATGAGGAGCATTGGAGCACTCAGGTCCAGAACCGAAGCATTGCTGCACTTAGCTAAGGCAGTAGTGAGAGACTGAAAGGACATTGCTGGCATTTGTGTCTAGATGGACGCTTTATAGATGTAGCCTGTTTCTTTGGGTTTCTGGCCCTTTACAGTTGACCAAAACTACCGGGAGAGAAGATGCAGGTAGAGTTTGAAAAGTGACCTTGGCATTTTAACAGACATTGTCAGTTCAAAATGTGAAACACTGCTGTCTTTTGGCCTATAAATGGGACTCAGATTTCCACGTGAGGAGTGGTTACAAGGGTTCCAATTATGCCCACAGGGACTAACAGAGACGGAAATGTAAACTCCATTCCTCTCCCGGTGCAGGGTCAGCTGAAACTGGTGGGTTCTAGGATGATTTCCTGTAGGAACCAAGCTATAGGCCAACAGCCACAATAGCCTGGAGTGAGCGTGGAATGTAAACCCCTGACATGAGCATTATTTGTGTAATATGAAGTCATATATAAAGATAAAACAGTTCTAAGTTAGCTTTGGAAAACATGCAGGTGTGATGTAGAGAGTTAGGGTTCCTTTACATTTGACTCCATGCAACACTCTTTAACAAAACCACATTCACAGTACGTGTTAAATCTCTCTTGAGATGAACTTGTTTGTTTTCTTTCCCAGAGTGAAACCAAGCATCATTCCTAAATGTCACTGTTGAAGTCTGAAATGATACTCAGGGAAAACAAATACATTTTAATTCAACACTCAATCAAAGAGATTGTCGATGACCTATGTAAAGTGGGAAAAAGCTGGTTTGTAATTGATTCAGCCTTGATCTTTTTCTTAGAAAAGTTTTCTGAAATTATAACACGAAATGGATATGTCTTCTATTCAATTACACAATTCTTTACCTGCAGTCAATTGCCGTTTATTATATAAATGTTGTATTACATTCCTTTAGTGTCTGTATAAATATACTGCTTAGAACAGGTGACTAGGAGCCTGAGAGGTGGCATCAGCAGCAGCACCCGCTGTTCTTCAAGAGGACCCTGGTTTGGTCCCCAGCACCTATGGTGACGTTCAGAGGATCTGAAGCTGTCTTCTGTCCTCCACAGGTGCCCACACACACCACAAACTGAATGAAACAAACAACAATGGCAAAAAAAAAAAAAAAAACCCAAATCTGTAATTGGGTATGGTGTTACATTTCCACAACACCAAAACAGTTTTCTAAAGGGTTGTGAGATCATAGTTCCTTTGCTGAAAGTCCGGTGGCTTTCCATACTACATTCTTCTCATCACATGAGGTCACCATACATTTCTTCCTATGCCACATCTACACCGCACCCGTTGTTCCGTACGGGGGAGCAAAGGGAGCAGGTTCCAGGGGCTGCTCAGGCTGAAGCTGGTTACAGTTTCAACATTATCTTGTATCATTATCAACAGAAAGCTCTGTGACAATGTCAAGCCCTGCGTATGAAATCAGTTCCTGCCTACTGCCCACTTGATAGTTTTCTTCCTAATTCATCTGCTTAACTCAAATGATAGGCCATCCAGTGTGTTTAACTCAAATGATAGGCCATCCAGTGTGTTTAACTCAAATGATAGGCCATCCAGTGTGTTTAAGCTATGTTCCCATTTTCCAAATGATGCTCTGTTTATCTTGAAATAGTTTAAGCCCTAAAATCTGTAGTCAGAGACTGCTTGTTCATTCCCAGCTGCCCAAACCCGAAATAATCACACAGAAACTGTATTAATTCAAATACTGCTTGGCCTATTAACTTAGGCTTTTTATTAACTAACTCTTACACCTTAAATTAACCCATTTTTATTAATCTATGTATCACCACAAGGCTGTGGCCTATCGGTAGGCATCTTTCTCCTTCAGCAGCTGGATCACATCTCCCTGACTCCGCCTTCTTTTCTCCTCTATCTCTGCTATGAATTCCCACCTTGCTCTATTCTGGACTGTCATAGGCCCAAGCAGCTTCTTTATTAACCAATGGTAACAAAACACATTCACAGCTAACAGAGGGGAATCCCACATTAAAAATCATAAGTCAAATTGCAATGCCAATTTGAATTCCTTCTTAATTGGTCTCTACACATCTATCCAGCATCCCTTAAGTTTGGAAGCTGTTCCTTTTGGTAGATGATCCTGTTGCACTAGCTGGGAGGGTTGTGGCAAAGAAGGGAAGGCGGTGGACGGATGGAGTTTGCTGGTAGGAGTAGGATGCTCTCCAGCTGTTTCCTTGCTCCTCATTGGGGTGTGACTAGGCAAATCACAGTGCCAACCCATGGACTAGACTGGCAGTATCCGTGGTTAAGTTGTAAGTCTGAGGAAATATTGGCTTCGGGAAACATCTGTGAGTTTAGATGGACCTCTTTTCTTCCTAGGACAAGAAGCACTTTGCTTGGATTTAGAGAGGTTGGAGAACCTCACAAACTGTGACTAGTCTAGAGAAGAATGTGGCCTTGTGACTGATGGTCATAAGGTCTAGAAGTGCCCTCCCCAGTGAGGCTTGGACCACTTCTTGTTTACTTCTGCCATTTCCATTTCTCGTGTGGGGAAGCCAGACCAAGGCAGTCTGTGAGTTTTGTCACACAGGGCAATGGGCTGTTTCCTGGGAGGAACATGGCACAGGTGGCGTATTTCAAGACAACCAGGATGGACAAATGCTTTGTTCTAAAAGCACAAAGTGGACCGGAGAGGCTCAGAGGTTAAGAACACCGGCTGTTCTTCCAGACGTCCTGAGTTCAAGTCCCTGCTACCCAATGGTGGCTCACAGCCGTCTATAGTGAGATTTGGTGCCCTCTTCTGGCCTGCAGGAATACATGCAGACAGAACACTTTACATAATAAATATTTAAAACACACATACACACACGTATACACATACATGCATACACAAAGCAAAATTCATATTTCTGTTATTTGGTCTTTAGGAAATCTAAAGTATCAAATGTTTGTCTAATCTGTAAATTATTGGATTCAAAGGCAAGTTTTGAACTCTGCGTTTCTCAGCCGCTGTGAACCTCTGAGGCAGCGCCCCTGTCTGCCTGGTGTGATTCTGCACTGCAGCTTGGCTTGTCACGGACGGTGGCACTCCAGCTGGGAAACACTGTTAGCTCTGCAGCACTTCTTTGATTTTGTTTTCCTCTCTCACCTTCCAGGAACAGCTGTGCCAGCCCACAGGGCCATCTTGGTGGCACGGTGTGAGGTGATGGCAGCCATGTTTAATGGTAATTACATGGAAGCCAAGAGTGTCCTGATTCCAGTGTACGGCGTTTCCAAAGAGACTTTCTTGTCGTTTTTAGAATACTTATACACAGACTCTTGTTGCCCAGGTACGCATATGTGTGTTATAAGGTAATATCTCGTGATTCTTCCTTCTCACTCATCTTGGTAGTTTGCTGCCTAGGAAACCTGTTTTGTTTAAGGTCTATCAGTCAGTATCACGGCATTTGCTGAGCAGCTTTGGGGTGATGTAGGGAGAGCGTTGCATTCCAGTTCATTCAAATGAAAGAGCAGGGGTCAGTAGCTCGTGCTAACAGCAGGCTATTGGTTAATCTAGACACCGAGAATCGAGGTGTTTGGGGTACCTAATGGCTGCTCTAATCTTAGAGTTTGGGAGCCCTACCTCTTCAACAAGAAAAGGGATAGACAGTAGCTTTCGTGATTCTCACATCTAGCTGAAATGGTTTTCAGAACTTTTGTTAGTGTGAACTCCTGTGGTCCTCCAGATCTGGGGATGAGGGCTTTTAAAGACTGCTGCTGACTTTCAAAACCAGATTCCCCTAAAATTGGTATCTCTAACTTTCCTGAAATTCCTAAATTCACTAACCAAAGACTGTCTTTGACCAGCACACATTATAAAGTTAGTAGTTAATGAATTGTGGTACATGTCGAAGTCCTTGGAGGGCTTTCTCCCATTCTGCCACCAGATGGCGGCCTCCTCAAACACAACAGGAATGAACGCCACACATGCCCTTGGTCCCAAAAGCTAGCCAGCAGCCAGCCCTATGGAAAGAAAAACAAAACTCACCTTTTAGACTATACCTCCCTTTATACTCGTTGCTTTAATTTTTAAAATTAAAAAATTTCCTATATTTGTTTAAATAGATTTTGAGTCGTCTATGAAAGGATATAGAGTTTCCAAAAGAGAAAATTACTTCTATCATCAAATTGTCTCAGTCTCCAAGTTAGCTGTTTTGGAGTTGTTACTACCAGTATTAATAAGGACTGGCTTGTTATTTTTGCTTCGTGAAAATGAAAGCATTGATTCTTACGGGAAATAAATATTATTTTCCTCAGTACTGGGAACTGGATAATTAATAAAAATTTTGACCACTATTTTTTTTTTAAATGCACCCATCTTTAATCCCAGCACTCGGGAGGCAGAGGTGGCTGAATTTCTGAGTTTGAGGCCAGGTTGGTCTACACAGTGAATTCAAGATAGTCAGGACTACACAGAGAGACCCTGTTTTAAAAACCTAAATAAATAAATATGCAACTGTACTATTGCATTAGGATAAATCAAGGTGGTATCTCCAAATTGTTTTAGTGATTGCATTATTTAGTAGCATGCTCAAATTTTTTTAAAATCCAGTTTCATTTTTCAATATTTTAGTAAAAGATTTAGTCACAGTAAAAGTTATAAATGTACTGTTCTTCTCTCATGTCTGCAGCTGTGATGAAAACACTCTGACGGAAAGTAACTTAAGGGAGAAAGCATTTACTTTAGTTAATAATTCTGACTGAAGTCCATTCAGGAAAGTTAAGGTGGCAAGAGATCCATGGTCAGGAGCAGAGAGAAAGATGTATTCATTCTTTCTACTCAGCTCATTTTCCTACTCTAATGCAGTCCAGGACTGAAGCCTAGGGGACAGTGCTGCCCACAGTGGGCGAGTCATTCCGCCTCCATGAAAACACTCCAGGCTCTCCCCTACAGAGATGCTAACAACACACCAGCCTGATCCAGACACCCCTAGTGGAGACTTCCCACATGATTCTAGATTGTGCCAAATTGGGAACTAAAACTGGGCAAGCACTCTACAACTTACCCATATGCACAGCCCTAAACCTACCAACAACCTTAACTCTGACTTCAGAGGTGGACGAGAGCGAAGGTGGGGAGTTGCTGCTTCATGTTTGTTCTGGAGAATGAATGAATGAATGAATGAATGAATGAATGAAGTGTGGGGTGCTTCATACCACCGAACTGAGTACCTCAGTATTTAAAATGGGGGCCAGGTTATCAAACTCTGACAGCTTGAGTGTGATCCCTGGTACCCACATGGGGAAGCAGAGGCCTGACCCCTGAAAGCTGTCCTCTGACCTCCACATAGGTGGGCACTGTGGCATGACACCCTCCCCATACATGTGAAATAAGTAAATGGCGTTAAATTGTTAGTGTTTAAAATGGGACTTAAGAGATTGCTCATCGAGTGAAGTGCTTGATGGCAGGTGTAAGAACTGTGTGTGACTCTCATCTCCAGAACAGAAGGGGGTAGGCATGGGAGCCCTGCTGTAATCCCAGCACCATGGAAGGTGGAGAGAGGGAATACCCATAGCAATCCCTGAGAAAACTGGGTAGCAGGCTAAACTGTTAGTGAGCCTGCCTCAATATAAAGTGGCCAGCAATGCAGGAAGACACCTAGCATCAACCCTGGTCCTCCACAGACACATACAAATAAATATCAAATGCGCACACACATACACACACAGATATCATGTGCCTGCACACACAGACAGATACTAAATGCATGCACACACACAGATAACATATGCATGCCCACACACAGATAGCATATACATGACCACACACAGAGGACATATGCATGTGCACACACAGAGATAACATGCATGCACACACAGCATATGCATGCATACACATACAAACGATACTGTATGCATGCACATATAGATACCATAGGCATGTACACACACAGATACCCTATGCTTGTACACACACACACACATTTAAAATTCTAGGTTTTTAAAAATTTTTGCAATAGTGAAAGAAAATTGCAAGACTGGGGACTAAAGCAAAGAAACAAAAGTTAGAAGTGAAGATGTAGCTCAAATGGTAGTATGCTTACCTAGCATCAGGAAGCCCTGGATTTGATCCACACAATTATGTTGGGCATAATTGTACACACCTGTGATTCCAGCATGCAGGGGTAGAGGCGGCTGATCAGAAGTTGAAGGTCATTCTTGACTGTGTAAGGAGTTGAAGCCTGTGATATGTGAGAGCCTGGAGTTGTGATAGAGGTGAATAAAGAGGATGCAATGAGATTTAGTGTAACTAATAGAAAAGTTTAGCTCTTAATGCACACACTTGGGATGCAGAGGCACTCAAGGCAAGCCTGGTCTACACAGTGAGTTCCAGCCCAGCCAGAGTTACACAGTAAGATCTTGTCTCAAAAAGGAAAAATTTCATTAGCTAACTCTATATGTTGGTTAAGGGCAGTTATTGGAATCCTTCTCTAGAGAGCTGGGGATGAGATTCTCTTTGGAGTATGAAAACTTAATTATTTACAAAATGTAGTACAAGGACTGTGCTAGTGGACTCTTCCTTGAAATTCTAGTCCACACTGAAGGATAACTGTCTGCATGTTTTAGAGCAGGGTGTGTGTGTGTGTGCGTGTGTGTGTGTGTGTGTGTGTGTGTGTGTGTGTGTGTGTGATTGGGTTTTTTGTTGTTGTTGCTGCTGCTGCTGCTGTAGCCCTTGCTAGGCTGGAACTCGCTGTGTAGACCAGACTCCAGCCTCACAGGGCAGCTGCCCCAGCCTCCCAAGTCCAGGTGTGTGCATGGAAGTAAAGTGTGCACAGCCATGCTGTCCCTGAAAGCGGTCGTAGTCTAACCATCCCCTCTGTCTCCTCTTTTCCACCAGCTGGCATTTTCCAGGCCATGTGTCTCCTCATCTGTGCTGAGATGTACCAGGTCTCCAGACTGCAGCACATCTGTGAGCTGTTCATCATCACACAGCTGCAGAGCATGCCCAGCAGGGAGCTGGCGTCCATGAACCTTGATATTGTGGATCTGCTCAAAAAGGCCAAGGTGGTTGGCCCTGTGTGGAGGGTGGGGCTGGGCGTCAGTGGAAGGAGGGCCTCTTCATTTAAAATACACATATACTACTTTGTTTTCTGTGTTTTAGCAGCTATGTGAAGACTAGTATGCCTTTTAAAGTGTGACGAAAGGAAGCTACAGTTTCTTTGCACCAGTTTTCATGGTGAAGTAATTTTGAAGCATTCATTGGGTTAGAAATTACATTTATATAATTTTAATAGTCATAATCCCAGTTACTTGAGAGTGGCTGTGCTTTTTTACATTAACATTACAGGAAATAGAATTTTCTTCCTCCCCAAATCACTTCTTAGCATTACTGGGGGAGGATAACAGGATGAGGCTGTATATACCAGATGATGTGGTGACTGTAGGGATAATACAGGACGAGGCTGTACATACTGGATGATGTGGTGACTGTAGGGATAATACAGGACGAGGCTGTATATACCGGATGACGTGGTGACTGGAGCTACTACTTCATCTATTCATTCATCTCATGAGCATGTTTTCACCGCTTGGTCGTATGGTGGCAGCATTGGTTGAGCTGGCTGGCATGTCTTGATGTGTTAGGAATCGAGTGAAATTTAAAGTGTAAGATTGGGAGTCGCTGCACTGACTCCTGGCCCCTTCCATGCCCAGGACCTCTCTGTTAAGAAGTAGCTACTATGAATTCTAGAATACATGCAATTTGCACAAATCTGTTGTGAGAAGCTTTGGTTAGAAAGACTAGAGAATATGGGGACCGGAGAAGTAGCTCAGCAGTTAGGAGCTTTTGCTGTTCTTGCAGAGGATCCCTGCACCCACAGGATGGCTCACAATCGTCCACAGGCACAAATAAGGTGCACATACATACATGCAGGCAAAACACTCGTGTATGTGTGTGCACACACGTGTATGTGCATGAGAGAGCACATATATAGAAATTAATTTTTTAAAGACTCTAGAATATGGAAGAAGACGGACAAGGTCTGTACATAAAGAAGAATTGTGTGTTGAAATCTGCCCCTCAGACCTTCAGATAAGAGTCTGGTCTAAAGCCCAGCATACACTCGTTCACTCATGAGAGAAGCTGGCTCTGATGGATCCTCTGTCTGAGTTACTGCCTATTTTCCCCAGTGCTGAAACTGCAGGTGGCCTTAGCTTATCATAAATGTGCCCTACCTAAGCCACACCTTCTAGGTCTTCCCCACAGGTGATCTTTGATCTACCACTCTAGAATGGGATATCCAAAAATCCTGTCTGGCTTCCCTGTTCATGCTGAGCTGGAGCCACATGACGGAACAAAGGACAGACTCTTGTCAGCTGAAAGCTTGCCTCCAGGCTGAAGCAAAGTCGTTAATCATTCTATATATTTCTGGGTATACAAGGCATTTAGCCAAAGCATCTGAGCATTTTAACTATTTTATACTTCATTTCTGTCATAATCAAAATTTATGATTAATATTAATGTTAATTTAATATTATATATTAAAAACAAATTTTAAAAATCAAGTAACCCTTATCTTTCACTGATGTACTTATATTGACCTTGAACAAGTTTCCCTCTTGTTAGCATGTCTGCATCCTGAATTTTTTTATTTTATTTAATTTATTTGGAAACAGGGTCTCACTTATCCTAGGCCAACCCCAAGGATGATCTTGATTGCACAGTTCTTCTGCCTCTGCCTCTGGAGTACTGGGGTTCTGACTGTGCCCCTGCTGGAGATGGAGCCCAGGGCTTCCCGCTACTAGCCGAGCTCTGTTTGTTTTTAGTGGATCCTCTTCAGACTCTGCTAAGAGCCCTATTTGTGAGTAGGCAGGAGAGCATCCCATGTGGTCACTTCTTACTGGCTTAAGGCACCTTCCACAGTTGCCCATGTGTTTGCTTCTCTGTCAACAAGGCCTTCCGTTTTGTCTTCCCCAGTACTAGCTGCTGTACAGGGAGGCTGCACTTTAATTTCCCAGCTGCCAAGACCCGAATAGTCACACAAAAACTCAATTAACTATAATACTGTTTAACCAATAGCTTAGGCATATTCCTAGTAGTTCATATATCTTAAATTAACCCATTTCTATTAACCTACGTATCACCACAAGGCTGTGGCCTACCAGTAAGTTTCCAATGTCTTTCTCCTTCGGCAGCTATGTGGCATCTCCAAATCTGCTTTCTTTCTCCCTGCGTTCAGTTTAGTTTTCCTGCCTAGGTCTATTCTGCCCTGCCATTGGCCAAAATAGCTTCTTTATTAACCAATGGTAATAGAATATATTCACAGCATACGAAGAGGAATCCCACATTAAGTTGCTGACGGTTCTTAGTTTTCCATCTGAGGTTTGAAAGTTTATCATATCTACCCTAAGTTTTATTGTTTCTGTTCAAACCTAAAAAAATGTTTATTTTATTATATGTTTATGGGTGTTTTATCTGCATGTGTATCTGTATATCACATGTATGTCTGGTGCCCACAGAGGCCAAAGAAGGCTTCAGGTGCCCTGGTACTAGAGTTACAGAGGCTTCTACATGGCCCTTTGGACGCTGGGAACCAAACCTAAGTCCTCTGCAAGAGTAGCTACTGCTCTTAACCACCAAGTCATCTCTCTAACCCAATTTTTGTTTCTTAAGACCTTTTATAAAAGTTTTTTTTTCCTATTAAGTGTGTGTGTGTGTTGTGCCCTTGAAGGGGATTATAGGAAACCCCTCCTCCTCTCATTTCCATCCCTGCCTGAGGAGACAATTTTTCTCTGCCTAGGATGCTTGCCTCGTTCTGCTACTGCAGGTCCAAAGGAAAGAGGCTAACCAGCTATGGATGGAAACTTCTAGAGCTGTACCTTCCCTGTTTATAATATGATTATCGTAGTGTTTAGCATAGCAACAGAAACAAACCAGTTTCCTCTTGGAAGGTTTGCGATTCCCAGTTTGGACAGAATTGGGTATGTCCTCCCGGTTCCCATCACGTGGCTCGTCTTCTGGTATAGGAGAACGGCTGCAGTGGTCCCTCGCTCCCACTGCCCCTCCCTACGCTCAGCCCTGCTCTCTACCGAGGGGCCTGTATTTTTCACCCATCATCCAGTCTGTCACCTACTGTACAGAGACGTGTGCTTCCCCGATTGGCTGTCTGTCACCTACTGTACCAGAGACGTGTGCTTCCCCGATTGGCTTCTTCTGGCTTAGGGGATGGTTCATTATCTTGGAAGCCCTGAATAACCAATGAAGTTTCACTTGCTCTCATATTCAATTAAACTTATATTCTTATTTATAATGTATATGGTAATACTTAGCTATATGAGAATAAGAACTTTGTTCCTGATTTTTCTTGTGAGCTCTAGGTACTTTTCCTATATTTAATAGCTTTAGTTCTATAGCATTTGTTATATATATGTTATATATTTGTTATATATATACATACACACACACACACATATATATATATATAACTTTAATGCCTTTATCTTTTTAAAAGTCTTTGTCTTATTTTCTGAATTTTTTTTAGTTTAAACCCTTTATCATAGGATAAACACATGCATTTCCAAAACACTAATTTGATTTTTTTTGTTGTTGTTGATTTGTTTTTTTGAGAGATATCCTTGCTTGGCCTGGAAATTTCTATGTAGACTAGGCTGTCCTTGAACTCAGAGACATCCTCCTGCCTCTGCTTCCTGAATACTGTGGTTAATGGCATAGGCCAGCATGCCAGGCCAAAACTCTAATTTTACAATGAGGTGCCTTCATTTCTTTGCCTAGAGACCTTAATATATATTGTATAATATATATAATACCTCAGGTTGTGCATTTGAAGGAAGTTTTCTTAACCAGCTTTCCCTCCTTAGGCTGGCCTTCCTGTTCCAGATCGTCTGCTTTGTCAGTTGTCTGGTAGCTTCCATTAACACAGCTATGGGTTTTTACTCTATTCCTGGGCATTACTTGTTCTATCTACTAAAAGACAGAGAAGAAATTACTAAAATGTGATATGGAATTGGCTGTGAAATCCCTTTCAGTTCACAACTTCTGTGTACTGGGAAGAATAGGTAACTGTGAATCTACATGTCAAATATTATTCTAATTTAAAATACAACCTTTTGTAAGATCATCCTTGGTTTGTTCTGTAAGATATGGTATTATAACTCTTTCCAATTTAGCACTGTTTTTTGCTTATGTAATTTTTTTAGTGTTCTTAAAAGACTACTTTTGGCTAAAAGGAAAGCATCCTAAAAGACCATCTGAGGAAGAATGATAAACCTAATGTGGCATATGTGTACGTGGAATGCTATTCTGCCTTTAAAAGGAATGGCACTTTTATGTAGATGGCAATATGGATGACCTTCAGAAGAAACTGTGTTAAATGAAACATGATAAAGAAAGACAAGTATTGTATGGTTTCTCTTATAGCATGTACCTACTGTAGTCAGACTTCTTGTGTCAAAAAGTAAAACAGCAAAATCTAAAGAAAGTTATATGTGTTAAGCAAATATAACTTTAATTTTGGATGATGGAATCATCTGGAGATGGATAACGGTGCTGTTTGTACTTAGTGCCACTAAATTGCCCACGTCTAGGTATATACCACAGTGATGATCACAGAGAGCTCTACCCAAATCGCCTGTCATCAAGTTACTATAATCCAGACTGATGGTTGACCCCAGGAGATTCTGTCATCAGCCAGACTGCTCTTAGTCTTCCTCAATTAGCAGCTCTTAGAACTCAGAAGTAGAAGAATACACAGAGATCCAGTTCCACGTAGCAGTGACCCTAAGAGAAAATGCTCAGCTCTGTCTGAGATAGGATTGTGCTTACTGATGACCTTGTGTTAAAAGTTTACATTGAAGCATTGAGAACCTCAGTGTTCACTGGGGGCAGGTGCAGCCCTGTCGCTCTGGCAGACTGGCTGGATTCTGGTGAATTGGCTGTTTTGCTGGATGAGCCAACCTTATCAGTATTTGTTAACAGTGCTCCAGTCTCCTCTCTGGGGCCACAGTTACCAAACACTGCAGTGCTTACAGGCACACACCCGTGGGTGTGGGCTCCGATTTCTCCCATGAGCAGAGCAGATTAAAATATTGTTTCCTTTCCATTTTCTTGTAGTTTCACCACTCTGATTGCCTTTCAACGTGGCTGCTTCACTTCATCGCCACCAACTACCTCATATTCAGCCAGAAGCCTGAATTTCAAGACCTTTCAGGTACATCACTAATTTCATAAAAAACACAAACGCGTGTCCTACACATCCTTTCGGTTCTGCTGTGTGATTGAGGACACTTTCACCTACAATCACCTGTGCTGCGTGAGCAGTCTGACCTGTTACACAAGAACTGTTCCAATGATTATTTTACAGTACTCATTCATTTTTAATTGTTTTTTTCTGGTAGGAGAGTTAGGGTGGTGAAGAGCATCCTCAGGTGCCATTTGACTGTGATAAATGAGACCTTAGTTTTTACTTAAGCAAAATTTAAATGATATAAGTTTAAACTGCTTTTTTTATAGAAATACAAGTATCAATTGTTATTATAATATGTCATCTTTAATACTTAGAGAATCTATATGTATATATCTACATAGGAACTTTGTAATAAGTTTTTTATTGACCAAATATTACGCATCTTGCCAACTGAAAGTAATTATACTATAATTATACTATAATTTTAAAGTAAAGTAAATGGTATGGATTACCATCAGGCATGGTAGTGCGAATATGTAATCCCTGCACTTGGAAAGAAGAGGCTATAGCATCCTGAGTTCAAGACCAGACTAGGCCACATAGCCACCAATCACAGGGTGAGATTCCTAGAACTGTGTAATAGGAAAAAACACAAAGATGGAGTGTTTATCAGCATAGGCAATCAGACCAACAGAATCAGAGAAAAGCGAAAATGAGTAATGGACAAGGACTATTGGCCTTTCTAACTTTGCAAAATGTTTTATATTGCGATGTTGATATTTAGGTGTACTCTTGGGCGTGAGGAAAGGCAGTTTCATGAGTTAAACACTGACATAGTAAAGGAAGCAAACAGTGATCAGAATACTGTGCAAGGCCTGTGGAATCGATGATTCTGCATTCCTCCTGCTCCATTTCTGCCTATTTGGAATAAATTAAAAGAAAAGCCACCGGTACCCTCATGAGTTTCTCAGTATATATACATAAGACCATTAATATAATTAGTATTAGTCAAAAATTTCCACTAGAGTCAGGAAAAGCCATCTTCAGTGTTTTGATAAAATCCATGACATATTTGAATAATATTCCAAAAAATAAATTGTAGAGCAGCTAAAAATGACCTTTAGTGTTTCAAGTATAAATTTACTAATTATGGGCAATGAATGCAAATATATTTCTCAGTTTTCTAATACTGGGACCATGCCCTGTTAAGTAGTTTTAAAGGGGGCTTATTGTTGCTCCTGGTGTGAAGGAGGATAGCACATTGTGGCAGGAAAGCTTCTTTTGTGGTTCTGGTGAGGGTGTGTGGCAGATGTGCATATCTGAACCAAGAACAGACTCAATTTGGAGTAGTTCTAAACAGCTCTTTGCACCACGGTAACTTCTTCCATGATTCTCATTCAGGCAGGCCACAGCAAGGTAAGATTGGGTACTTTGAATGAAAGGTGGATGGGCTGCAATCTTAGCTACAGGTAATGGAGTGGGCTTCCCTTACTTTTGATAAGAGCATCCAGGACACCGAGCCAACAGACTGCAGGGGTGTGTAACTGACTCAAGGCCCCAGAGGCTGAGCTCTGAAACCAAAATTAGCTCATGCCAAGTCTCCCTTCCAATAACCTGTCAGAGCTTTGCCTCAGCCCAGTAAAGAGCATGGAAGTCTGGTTCTGGATAATGTGTGGTCTCCTCAGTGGCATCTCTAACTGCACTCCAGTGCAAGATGCTCCCATGAAAACCTTTTCTTTCTTATCTTGAACCAAATACAGGCTGACTTCTCCATGTGTCCCTTTCCCTCCAGCCCTCAGGCAGGGCTCCTGGTGATTACATTGCTCACAGACCCTCTGCATCTCAGAAGATGCACAGCAGCAGCTCAGTTTCTACTCTTCCTTTTAAAACAGACACAGGGGCAGCCCTTTGGCACTCTTCCTTGGTTGACTTTGTTCTTTTAAAAAATTATCAAGAGAATCCACCTCAACCTCTAAAAATCAGACAAGAAACAAAAGGGCACAAACGTGGCATAATTTCTCTTCTGTGCAATAAGTATCATTTTGTTTCTATTTTATATGTGGGACATTTTTAGTTTTCAGTCATTAAATATGACAATCTTACGGCCAATTACTTAAGATATACAAACCACAGACTGGTTTTCACGGCTATGGAGTCATTTTAACACCTCACTGGCTCCCATATTCCTTAAAACCATGAAACTTTCCCAGGAACTTTAGCCAGCAGAACTCAATGCAGGGTTTCAAGGACTCTTCACAATCACCAGAACCTCAGAAACCATGTGGGTAGCCTGTGCCTTTCCCCTTGCCCTGCAGGCACTCACTGTACTTCTGCAGAGTTGTGGGGTGTTTGAATGTGGGACCTCTAATAACACATGGAAAATTGTGTGTTGTAGCATGGTTAATAAAAACCCAGAGACAGATATTGGGGTTCAACCTGAGGATCAGAAAAGCAAAGCAGTCAAGCCACTAGAGAGCTCATACCTCTAAGAAATCCTCAGACTGAAAAGAGACCTAGTTCCTGTCTCATCTCGGTTTATATTCCTCTCTGGTGCTGGATTTAAAGGTGTGCTCCACTACTATTGGGCTTCTATGGTGAACTAGTGTGGCTACTGGGATGAGAGGTGTGTGCCACCACTGCCGGGTCTGTGTGGCTGACCAGTGTGGCTGTCTTACTCTCTGATCTTCAGGCAAGCTTTGTTTATTAAAATACAAATGACACACCACTACAGTGTGCTGTGAACACAGCCTCTCAGCAGTAAAGTACTCCCAGGGCCTCCTACAACCAGGTCACTCTCTTGTCCAGTTGGTGTTTGTGTGGAAAGGAAGAGAGAGAGACAGAGACAGAGACAGAGACAGAGACAGAGACAGAGACAGAGAGAGGCTGGGAAATGCTGGGAGTTTATTAGTCCCTGTTGGAGCGGGCAGCAGGCTGATCTCTTGTGTTTTATTTTCCTTAAGTCCCACAGAACTGAAATCCTTTACATACAAGACAAGATTTATACCAATGATCATACAATTTCCACCCTGCTTCAGGGAGAAGAAACTGACCATTAAACTCAGAATAAAAGAGTGTTGTGGGTAGTAGAAGATAAAATCTATGTGAGGTGAAAAGGTTAGAGTAGGAGTCACCCCTATGGGGCAGGAGAGCAGAGTTGGGATTAGAGTGGCTCCTTTGGTGACAATGAGGAGAAATTCAGAAACAACGAGACCAGTTTCAGGACTGGGAAAACTCAGATATAGTTCCTCCAAGAGAACATGCAAGGCAGAGAAAGACAGGTGATCCCGAAAAGACAGAGGAAGAGAACAGAACAGACCACAAGCATTTCCACAACTAACAGATCGAGATATAACAGAAGAGGATTCCAAAGTCCTGAGAATCCCAGCGAACAACTCGTGCTGCACCAGAAGAGGATGTCCAAAGTCCTGAGAATCCCAGCAGCTTTCCTGAACCCCATTGCGACCTGTGCTCTTTCCCTCCTGTATGACCTGAGTAGTGAACTAGGCTGTCTCTGGACACATTTACAAGTCAGTGAAGGTCATATCAGCTGTCTTTGACTGTATATACTCAGCCAGATATGTTTAAAAATAGATTTATTTATTTTATGTGTGTGTTTTACCTACATATAAATAAGTGCCTGACTTGAATGCAGTACCCCTGGAGGCCAGAAGAGGGCATCAGATTTTGAGCATGCAGAGAATTATGAAATATGCTAAATCAGTAGTTATGAACTGGCTACCGCTGACTCCAGTCAAGTCTATCAGGGTTTATTTTTTTCAGCCACCATTTAAAATGTTGTTTTTATATAGTACTTCCATTTAAAATCTTCAGGGGAAAATCTGAAAGAGTTGGATAGCCTGGGTCTGCCTTGCTTCTGGGAAAGCCTGGAACTAAGAAGTGGCTAAGTGGCTGCCCACTCCAAAGGGGACATGTCCTCTCCAAAGGGCTGGAGTCTTTCCCCCTTTCGGTGGTGATTGTATACCCAGCCCCCTTCCCACCTGCTTGGGGTTTGGCAGCTCCTGTCATCCCCTTTACAGCTTCCGTGTGGCACTGTCAGCTGTCGGCTTTGGAAGCTCTCCAGGTCTCACCGGAGTTTTCTGATTGTTTTCTCTCGACGGCACTCCTTTCCTTTGTTTTCATCTTTACTTTTCTCATCTTAAAAACAGCTCATGCTTTGCTTTATAGCAGAGGTTTGAACTTCTAACCTTCCGGCCTCTGCCTTCCAAGTGCCCAGTGAAACTTTTCTTTTCCAAAGTTATTTAGAAATTGGCTCATTCCACCTTAGGGTTAAATACACAGGTTTTTTTATATAACGTATTTATTTTTATTTTATGTGCATTGGTGATTTGTCTGTATGTCTGTCTGTCTCTCTGTCTGAGAGTGTCAGATCTTGGATTTACAGACATCCGCCATGTGGGTACTGGGAATTGAACCCAGGTCCTCTCGAAGAGCGGGAAGTGCTCTCTCTCAACCTCTGAGCCATCTCTTCGGTCCTACACTAGACACTTCAGAAGACATACAGCGACACACAGGAAAATTTGACTTTTGATGTTTGTGAATTCCCTTTTCTCGTGATAGGTTTAACTTAGCTAACTATTGCGGTATGTTTTATGAAGCAGTGTTTGGATCCATGTTTTATGAAGCAGTGTTTGGGTGCTGTTTTTACTGGCTGCCAAGCTCATCTGCAATTACCTTTTTTCTGGGGTTCTGGTTTTGTTGTTTTGATTTTGAGTTTGTTTGTTTGTGTTTGAGACAGGGTCTCATTCTGTAGCCATGGCTGCCTTGGAACTCACCGTGTTCACCAGGCTGGCTTGGAACTCACAAAAACTGCCTGCCTGTTCTCCCCAAGTGCTGGGATTAAAGGCGAATGCCACCACATGCTGTTTGGAGTTCTGTCATTACAAGGCCACGTCATTCACCTTTGCTTCCTCATGAAGCAATGAATGACTCCCCTGAGCAGGCAGCCTTTTTACTGTCATTTAGATCATATAACTAGGTCATTGTTAATCCACGTGCCCATGAAGCTGAACAGCAGGTGGAGGAATCAAACTAAGTACAATGAAGTGGAAATGCAAACCGAAGGGAGGGATTCCCAGACCCATAAATGTTTAAAGTCCTAGGTGTGCCTGAGGCAGGATGAAGCCTGGGGTCTCAACAGTGAAATTCATAAATGCTGACTAAGAGCTTTGGTAGGCGTCTCCCTACCGGTGGAGCCAACGTTTATCGGAAATGGGAAGCTCAGAAATTCAAGCCCAACAAGTTATAGGTTTGTAGACTCTGGGTGGAGCTGAGCGTAGGGTGCGGGCCTGGACTGAAGTCAGGTTTCTATGGAAGTGGGTCCAGAGCGCACAGTGTACAGGGAGGCTACAGGGAGGCTAGAGGAGCAAGCCCGAAGACCAGGAACTCGCAGTGCGGTAGACTCCGGAGTAGGGAATCCCGAGGAAAATGAGTAGATTAGCTGGTGCCTGCACTGGAGGGGAAGCAGAGTCAGGACGAGTTTATAGAGTGTGAAAGGTCAGCTTATCCACAAAGAAAGATGGATTTGTTATCTCCAGTGAAAGCAAATGTTGTCTTGAAAGAGAAAAGGGAAGCAGTGAAATCCCACCTGCTGGAGCAGTGCATGTCAGCATTAACCGCATAGTGCTATAATAAATCCTGACGGCTGCTGTTATCCAGATTCTGGCCCATTCTGGAAGGCTGTGGGATGGGTGGGGGATATAAAAGACTAAACTCTGTCACGTAACAATCAAATGTTCGTATTTCATCTTGACAAAAAAAAATATATGTAATTAACTTTTTTCCCCTTAAAATTTCAGTGGAAGAACGAAGTTTTGTTGAGAAGCACCGATGGCCATCAAACATATACTTGAAGCAGCTGGCAGAGTACAGGAAGTATATCCACTCCCGGAAATGTCGCTGTTTAGTCATGTGACCTGAGCTTTTGTGTATAGACATGCTTTTTTTACTGTTATGAAGAATGGGTACCTCTGGGTTCCAGTAAAATTCTTATAATTGAATCAGTATGGTATTTTAAAAACACCATATAGCTTCTTATTAGCTTTGAAGGCTGCGGAGGTCTTAAAAGGGAGCACAGACTTTAATGCTTCGCCCAGAACATAAAACTCCTGGACAGTGGCTTCTCCTCTAGGTTGCCCCGTTGCTTTAATAGCATTAAACCTCTCCTCATTAAGAGATGTTTAATTTTAAAAATATCATCTAGGAGAAATACGAAAATTTCATCATGTCTGACTGATTGCTAAAATAAGGGCCATTTAAAAGCCAGTGTAACTGTGAATTTGGGGGAGTGCTGTCCGGTGCAGCGTGAAGTTTTAGGAATAGGAATTTGCCATCCGTCAGTCGCACACCAGCTGCTTCCAGGTCAGTAGGCGTGTTTGAATCAATATAATGAAGAACACCTGCCCATCTGGTCCATGCAACCACATCTGCTTGCCGATTGGCAAACCCAGTCAGGGCTAGCAGTTACTGCTGTGCAACTTTCTGGATTCTGCAGCTCCCACACTTAGAAAGGCCTGGCACTTGTTTAGGCTCTGCTAGTACACTGTTAAATTCCTAAAAATGTTTGAAAGAAGGCTCCCATGCTTTCACTTTGCACTGGCTCCCCAAAATTCCTATTGAGGGAAAATGCCCTCTCTCTCTCTCTCTCTCTCTCCCTCTCTAGAGGGTTTCTCTGTGTAACAGCCCTGGCTACCCTAGAACTTGCTTTGTAGATTAGGCTGGCCTTGAACCTACAGAAATCTGCCTGCCTCTGCCTCTGGAGTGCTGAGATTAAAGGCACATGCCACCATGCCTGGCTAAAGAAATGCCTTTTTAAAAAAATTTTATTTTATTTAATCATTTTTTTTCACTTATTTTATATATCAACCACATTTTCCTCTCCCTCCTAATCTCCTACTCCCTCCCTCATCTCCCAACTACCCCCTCCCATCCACTCCTTTGTCTCCCTTCAGAAAGGGGCAGGCCTCCCGTGGGCTTGAACAAAGAAAGCATGGCCATCAAGTTGAGGTAGAACTGGGCTCCTTGCCTGCAGCAAGGCTAGATGAGGTAATTAAAATGTTCTTTTCTTATTCAAACCTCAAGGACGCTGGGAGAGCAGAGTGGAGAGGCTCCTCAGGGAGGCTTGCTCCGCCTAGTGCCTCAACAGCGACCTCTTCTGGCAGGAAGACATGCTTTCGGCTGACTTTGGGACACTAACTTACTTCTAGCTCTATCCCAGAACAGTACTTTCTTGATCAATATGTAAAGCCAGGAAGTTGATAAGAGTGAGTGAGTAGCCTGACTAAATAAAGTTTTAGAGATAATCACAGGAAAAAATGCCTTCTAGAGACTTGGGTACAAAAGCTGAAGTATTCTTTCTTTTAAATGTATCTGTTAAGATTAGGATGCCAGTGGCTTGAATTGAGTTCTTCCAGGGACTGAAAGGCCATCTGGTATGAAATAGCAAAGCCACCTAAGAAGGTTTAAAAAATGGAGAGACAGTGTGGGCTGGGAAAGCCAAATAGTTCTCTTATATCGCGTTTGCAGAAATGATTCTGCAAGATGCGCACAGCTTGGGCATGGAAAATACAGATTGCTGTGCAGTGCTAACATCATGGCACCTGTAATTTAGTGCTGGGCACTATTGTCCTAATTTCCAGCGATTTTAGTATGCATATTTTTCCAACTTTTCAAAAGTTTGGTTCAGCAGTCTCACCCTGTAGTGTTAGGGCGGCATCCAGAAGACCGTCTTCTGCATAGCAATGCTGTTAGAGTAAAGGGGAAAGAGCTCCTGGAGCTAGAACCCAGAGAGAACTCATTTTAATTGTGCTGTGTTGGTGAAGATTATTGGAATGCGTTTTGGTTTTTGCATTTTAAGTTACACACCTATTGGCAAGTCCCACTTGGTGGCTTAGCATTGTAAAGAACAGTTAATGTAGCAGTACCGAGAAGGTCCTTTGCGATTGTAGATCCAATGGTAGCCCTTTGATACTTGAACACATATACTCACCCTCTGTGCTAATCACAGCAATTAAAATTCTAAAAGCTTAGGAAATTGAAAAATAGGAGTTGAGAAACAAAGCATTTTCTCAGAAATACGATGTTAACATTTAACTAGGGCGCTCTCCTGAGTGGGAGCTGAATTTGGAAACGGGTGGTCTCGAGTGTTTTTCTGGAGGTTTTCCCACTACCTGTGACAGTGACAAGGGCAGAACAGAAGTGAATTCTTAAGCACATTTGAATACAGACCCCTCAGTACTATGGAATTCACCCAATTGAAAGTAACGAGAAGTTTCAAATACTTAAAATGATCATGGCTAAATTCATGCTGGCTTTCAGGGTTGTTTTCCACTCAAAGGATTATTTTAGATGGCTGTATGCAAATTTCCTGCTTCAATATATTTACCACGCATTCTAGTTAGAGGATACTGTGTAGCAGAAATAAGGCCCCTTCCTTCAGGGCCAGGTTTGCGTCGTATTAAGCATCCCTTGTATGCTGCTGGCTACTTTCTTCCTGTTCTACCATAGGGGACTAGACTCTAAGAGAGAGCACTGGCTGGAGACTGAAGCCCACCCTGTGCGAGCCGCACTGGGGCTTCCTCAGGATCCGGGAAGACTGAGGAATCAGATGGAATTGACTTCCAAGATGGCCAAATTTTTTAACTGTAATTTTACAAATGATACTACACTGATATAACCAATTAGGTTTAATATGTCTTCAATAATTATTTTATTTAAAGCATCTTGTTTAATTCAACTTTTAATCAGATTTTGCAAAGGGTATGTATGTATTTTAATATAGCCTAACCTGAATTTATATGTTTTTAGCTTTAGTATTTAATGTTTTATAACAAATAAACCATTTTTTACAAAAACGGGTTTAACAAAGTATTCGTGGTTATTCCTGCTTTGGATATTCAATGCTGAAATGATTTGGGGAATATTGAATTCCTCAAGCACAGATATGTTTTATAGACAATTCCTATTATATAGAAAGTTCTGATTGCTGCTGTTGTTCTCGTAGATGTGAGCTGAGGTGAGAAGACGGTGCCACCTCTCATATCTGCTTAAAGGATAAAACAGCTTCCTAGAATCATTTAACACAGAACATGCAGGTTAGAGCATGGACCGGGCCCAAGAGTTTATGGGGTGGAGAGCTGTTCTATGTAGTGGAGGAATGAACAGCTGACTAGGCCTGAGGAACCCAGGTGGAGGATAGCAGCCAAGCATGAGGCCATGTTGTGTAGTGTGTGTCGAAGGCCCTCTGCGGAAGAACTGCCTGAAAAGCCTGCTGAGCTCACCAAGGGCCCCACAGTACCTATGATGTTGTACTCCTATCAGAAACCTGATCTAGAAACACAAATTCCTACAAGGTCTCTATGGCCTATAGAAGGCCTGGTATACACCTTCCCAGCAAGGGCTTTGGTAAGCCAGGCCTGCCTTCTCTGCCTGATACTGCTCTCCCAAGCAGAAAATGTGTCCCATTCTCTGCCTGATACTGCTCTCCCAAGCAGAAAATGTGTCCCATCCTGATACCTTGGCTTGTTCATTCAGGTTCTCTATATACTTCATCCTCTTTCTGTGCCTTGGACTAGGTGGTGATTCCCTTATGCAAAATCTTGTATATCTAAGATAACTCAATTTATTTATTTTTTTAATAAAATTTTTTATTGAAAAAAAAATTTC